TGGTGGAAAGGACTTGTTTAGAGCCTCATCGGAAGCCTTCATCTCACATCCTCGGCACAGCAGCCCTTCCCCCACTCAGCTGTCCAGCTGCCGAGGGACCACGAATGAGGTTTCGAGCTGACAAGGGAACTGGTTTCATCGTATTTTGACTTCATATTTTCAGTACTATGTCTTCCTAATAGAGTAGGATATTCTAGTTTAGATCAATAGTTCTCTGTAAGCAATTTCCTTCATGCCCAATACATATACTTTTAGTTAAAACACCACCCTTGATGTACATTTGAGGATAATATTCTTTATGATTATTGCAGTAACTCACACTTGTTAGTAAGTATAAAAATATAGAAATGTATAGGGAAAGAAACTGAAAATCACCTACAATCTTATTGACTTACTCTAAAAGTAAAGAAATGCATAAAGAACATAATCCTCCCTGTAATACTAATAATTTACTCTATAGTAGCGCAGTGTTTCTATGGTTGCTTACTGCCTTTGCCTACATAAATGCTGCAAATGTTTAATAGGAAAATTCATTATGTGAATAATGGTTTAGAGAAGAGAGCGATGACTTTTATTATCTATCCCAGACATTATTATAGTTTGTATCATTTTCCACCATAAAATTTAGCAAAGTTAAAGATATGCAGCATGGTCAGTGTAAACCTTGGGCACAGAATTAACCATGTATCTGATATTGGGAAAAATCAGGAATTGGTCTTTATTGCTCACTGGACATCAGGAAGAGGCCAAACATTTTGTAAATACTGCCTCACTTACATCGAGTGCTCCCGTGGAAAATAAAGATTTCTTTCTTCTTTGTCCATGAAGCACAGAAATGATAATTTGGTTTCAAATTTTTGTAACAGAAAATGATGGGTTATATTTAGAAATATTTAGATTCATTGTCAAAATCCTGCAGCTGCTGCTGTCGCCTGGAGCTGCCCACTGCCAGCCACCGTTAACTGGACCATACTCTTCATCCTCATTGTCAGCCATGAGCCCTGAGGCTGCATCTCTTTTGAGTTGTTTGTACAAACAGTTTCAAAACAGCAGGGGACATTTATACTCTGAGCACCAAAGAGGAAGGATTTGACTCTAAGGTAGGAAGGATTTGGCTCTAAGGTCCCCTGGTTGTTTAGAAGTATTGCAGGATACAAGTGTAGGCACTCAGGAGGCTGAGGCAGGAGTGTCACAAGTTCAAGACCAACCTGAGATGAATAACATAATCCCATGCCCCACCCAAACAAAATAAAAACAAGAAGCCCCAAAGTAATATTCCAGGATCTTTATGTACCAGGAGGGTGACACTGATACCATAGCAACACAGCGACGGGTCCTCTCCACCCAGGGGGAGGAGCTTGATGAGAGTTTCATCCCATAGTCTACAGGTTCCAGCACCTTGTCCAGAGAAGATGCCAAATGACCAGTGGTGATCCTGAGATTTTCATCTGTGATGTCAAGACAGAATCGCTGTAGGGCAGACACTCAAACTTCTAGGTGCAAAGCAATGAGTACGATGGAACCCATGGAGCACTTTGGGCTCAGGAATGGCCAAGACAGTGAAGAGATCACCCCTGCAACCACAGCCAACTTGAATACATCTGACTTTCTGATTTACCAGCCCTTCCATAGCTCAGCGATATGCTCTTTAATCCCACCTCCTTGCTGTACCCTGTGACTCTTGTGCTTGTACTTCAGGTGTTCTTCAGTTCCCTAATGTCCTTAAGTTTATTTGTATTAGAGAGTTAAGTGTGAGATTATACAATAATCTCTAAAAAGTCAGCAAGTTGATTATTGGCGCAATGCAAACTCTATGGCAGTCTGACTTGTACCCTTGGTTTTTGAACATGCGATTACAACCTTAGTGAGTGTCAGGTTTTATGCTTGTTGTTTTCCTTTGCTTGTTTGTCTTATGAAAACATGGTACAACTTGTTTTAGGTAGAATATATTCTGTGTTGCCTTATAAAGATTGCATGGTGCATGCCACGGCTGACTGCTGATGCATCCTTGCCTTCTGCTGACCTATGGGTAATAGAAGATGCCTCCGGAAGACATTTCTCTGTAGTTATAATCGGATACGCTATGGACTTTTATCACAAGTCATCCCGATGCGAAGTGGCATGGGATTTACTGCGGCGGCAGGAAATGTGAGTTTGATCTGGTGTGACAAGTGGAAAGCTCTATTCAGTCCCGAATTAGAGAAGATGGTCGCTATTTGGAGCGTTGTTTTGAGTAACCACCTCCTGGGCAGGACAGGTTAAGCACCTGCAGTCAAAATGTTCCTCTTGTGTGTGTTTGCCATGCTTATATTCTCATTGAAAAGAGCGATGCCACAAATGCCATGTGTTCCTGCAGATAGCACATCTAAGTGGGAGGATATTTCTTCATAAGAGTCCTCGTCTTAAAGCTAACTTCCACCCAAGAGCAAGGTAGGAACTTAGGGTTGGCTTATCGCCTAACACCCGACCTCTGTCCTTCCCGATTCTGATTTCTTTGGTCCACCATAGAGTGGTGTTTTAGAACAATCAGCCAGTAGAATGCTTGAGCCCCAGTTAGAAGTACTAGATTTGATATTATGAGCAAGAAAATAGAAGATCTGAGCCTCGCTTTTTTGCTGCGTATATAAAGGGAAATGATAGTAACCCCATCGGATTATTATGGCTGAAGTCAATGCATATGAAACTGTGTGTATGACATACTCCTCAAAAGCTAACACCTTCGATAAACCTGTAAGATGAGTGAGTCAGACATATAGGAGAAATAAATATACAAACTAGTGAAACGTGACACATGCCTAGGACTGCATACTTGCCGAACTGAAGTCAGAGCAGCATTCTTAGTTCAGTCTTTTCAATAATACGCTGCTTCACTCGCTTAATTAAGCACATGTGTGTGCACACAGCAGTTGACTTTGAAGTGTAATGCTTGAACAACAAATATAGTTATTTGGCATGCACATTCCATCATACATAGCAGCGAGAAAACAGACCTGCAAAAAGGGGGTGCACCTACACAGCGCCACAGTCTGTCATGCATGCCTCGCAGCAAAACACACAAGCTCTTGCAAGTGTGCACCTGCATTAGAATATGCACCCTCTCAAAGGAAACTTAGGATATGCACCTTTTCAAAGAAAGCTCTATTCTCTTGGTGCATAACTTGCTACAAGTTAAGATTTTGACAAAATCTGAGCACTTGCTCAGAAACTTTGCTTTCGAAAAATATAAAGATACTTGACCTGCAGTATCTATTAAGGTTAGTGAACATGTCGCAAGAAATGTCCTTAGCACAGAAAATTCCTAATAGATCTTTTAGGCCTCTATGGCCATCTTCCCTGTCTCCCTTTGTTTCCCTTCACTAAAACGGTGTTCCACAAAGAGGGAGCCCACATCAGGGCACAAAGCAAGGTTCTACAACTTGAAGGCACTAAGAATAATAAGAAAGTCAGTCACAAGGAAACAAGTGTCTGGACACTGAGGGAAAGGAGCTGTAGCCAGTTTCTCGCATGAAACTCTGGGTTCATCAGTAACAAGCAGCTGTTTAAAAGGATTCAGTGCTTGAAGGATGTTTAAGAAACAATGCATCATTTTCACAGTGCACAGGGCACTTAGCAAGTGCCTTCTATTCACTGCGTCTAGGTATATACCTTAAGTTAACATGCTTGCCTTTGCTTTTAATTCGGGCTAATGTTCATTGCCCCAATCTTTTGTGAAGGCCATGGGCCTGCCATTGGTTCTCTCGTGCTACAGTTGCTAGAGCTATGTTCCACTCTGAAATTGGGACTTCGTGTTTTGGTTCATCAAATCCAGCGTTGATGTCCTTGGAGATCACCTGTGTCCACAAAGAAGGCTGTTACATACTCACACACACTGAGTCTATACGAGTAAACAATGAGTCAACTGAGTAAACAATGCACGGTGAGAGGGAACCAAAGACCAATTAAATCAGGGCACTTTCTATTCTAGGTTTAGGATGTGTACAGGTACATTGTGAATTCTGTGGTTGGTAGATTCTAGTTCATGTGGCAATCATGTAGGCAAAATGGAAGGCAAAGTCTTCACCTGTCCAGTTTTTGAGGTAAATCTAGGCTTGTGCGTGAGCCTAAATGAAGGATTCTGAGAAGTGACTCCAGGCTTCAGTCTCTGTGTGAGGTATAAGCTTGGAGTTTGTTTGATGGACAAGGGAGTAATTACAAACATTTTTCAAAATAAAATCTGGAAATGTATGCTTGTCTGTGGTTCAATATTATTGTGTCTGAGGCAAATTAAAGTTGGGTAAAAAGCAGAGTCTGGGATGGCACACATGAGTTCAAAGTGGGTTTAGGTGAGATAATTACAGACATTTTGTGATTGCTAGTGGAGTTAGAGGATTTTCCTCTCTCGCTGGCATGTGCTTGTATATGTATGCATATTTGTGCATGCACCTGTGTGAAAGGTTTACCTGCAATCCAGTTCTGGAACTTGTGTGAAGGTGAAGGTTTGTGAGGCAGTTCTGGGACCTGGTATAATTTTGAGATTGGATGAGGCAGTCTGGATTGCAAATAGGACCAGGAAGGTGTCTGTGGTAAGTCTGTGTAATTAGTTTCCAGATACAAACATCTTGGGCAATTTTTCTTGTGTCCATAAAAGGATCAAAAAGATGTGCATGAGTGTGTGTGTGTGTGTGTGTGTGTGTGTGTGTGTGTGTGTGTGTGTGTCTGTAAGACAGGAGTTCAAGTAGGCACAGAGTTTGTGTGCCCAGGTAGCCGAGATTTTCAGCCTGGATTATTTCTAAGACATCTGAATTTTATCTGAGTGTGAATCAAGTCCCAAAAGCCAGCGTGACCAGGAAGGATGTATCCGTGTCCGTGCATGTGCGTGCGACAAGTTGGGATCTGGACCTGGAACTGGAGCTGAGACCGCATTAGGGCGGCGGAGTGGGGGATGGGGTGGCCGAGGAGGTTAGACTGGAGCGGGCGGGCGGTCCCGGGGGCTATTGGAGCCGGGGCTTTGGCTAGCTAGCTTGTCTGGTTGGGGACAGGCAGGAACCAGAGCAGCACTGCCGCCTCTGGCGCGAAGGCTCAGGCGCCTCCTCCCGCCCCACCACTGTGGCTCTGTGCACGCTGCTGGCCGCTGCTCTCTACAGCCTCTGAAGAAGAAAGCCCGTGAGCCGCTGTCGCTTGAACCATGGCTTCGGGTCGAAGGGGCTGGGACAGCTCCCACGAGGACGATCTGCCTGTGTACTTGGCTCGGCCGGGCACCACAGATCAGGTCCCACGGCAGAAGTACGGAGGCATGTTCTGCAACGTGGAGGGCGCCTTTGAGAGCAAGACATTAGATTTCGATGCCTTGAGCGTGGGACAGCGCGGCGCCAAGACTCCCCGGAGCAGCCAGGGCAGCGGCCGCGGCGCGGGGAGCCGGCCAGGGGTGGAGGGGGACGCGTGCAGGGGTCAGGGTCGAGAGGAGAGCAGGGAACCCGTGCCCGAGTCGCCCAAGTCCGCTGGGGTGGAGATCCGGAGTGCCACCGGCAAAGAGGTCCTGCAAAACCTCGGTCCCAAGGACAAGGTAAGTAATCGGGGCTCTTTCCTCCTTTGGCCCTCGCCCACTTCCCCAGCCTCGGCCGCCATGGCCCGGGCACAACTTTCTTGCTCACACTTTACAAGAAGATGGGCGACTAGGCTCAGAAAAAAAGCCATCCGTCGGGGGGCCCAGGTTTCTCACGTGTCTGCAATTGTCTCATCTTCCTGTGTGTATGGTAAGGGTCTCAGGCCTGGGTCACACAGATGCACCGCTGACCGGTTACTTCTAGGTGGGTGTGTCAACCCTGCCAGCCTGGGAAGACTTAGGGATTCCCAGACTCTCTCTCCCTCTGATGAACTAACAGCACAATTGTCTTGGTCCCCCTTGGCTCCAGATTAAAACTCAACTCAGGTCACGGGGGGCAGAGGTCAGATTGATGCTAAGAAAATGGGGTCATCTCTGCAGAGTGTGGATTAAAACAGAGAATGAAGAGTCTTCTCTCTGACTTTTGAAACTTTTGGGTGTGGGGCCACTAAACACCCGACTCTTCGTGCCTCACTTCTGCGGTAGCATGACGTTTCACATCTGTGTTTATGAAGAGTGTATTTGTGTACATAGCTTGGCACACGCCTGGGTCTCATGGGATGCAGCTGTCTCTGTAAAAATATCACATATTTGAAAATAGACGGGGGTTTTAAGAGTGCATAGTAAACCAGCACGAGCTGCCGGCCCCCTGCCGCTCTTACATGTGTCAAAGCTAATTTCTTCTCTGCATTTTCTAGAGCAAAACTCAGGCCATGCTGAACTGTCTGAGGTTACTGGGACGACTTGTGTGTTTATTTCATAGAAAGTCAGAGGCAGGATTCAGAAAATTCAGGGTCGGCGGAGGTCTGGAGGAACCGATGTTCAAACCGTGGGGTCTGAGTTGGGGAACAGTAGGAATCAGAAGCTTTTTGCCCAGTCTAGGTAATGGCTGCGCAACCCACCCCCTCCCATGTATTATTCCTCACTAATGCCATCATGAATAATATCCTGCAATGGAAATGTCTGCTTCCCAGTGATTACCGTTAAGACTCATCCTGCTCTGAGCTGTTTTTCCATTAAAATGCAATGAGGTGGTGAAAGGCCAGCTTATCTCTCAGTGCTTCAATTTTTGGTAGGTTTTTTTTTTAAAAAAAAAAAAAAAACAACAACAAACTTTTAAGTACTGCTACCGTCCAGGGAAAGCAGGACCCGAAGCTAGCGCTGAGTGGAGAGGCCCTTTGTAAGGCATCTCTTGGAATTACTCATCTCCTTTATGGTTTTCACATCCTCTTCCAGTGTGAGACTCCTGTAGGCCAGCCCACCAGCCCTTTTAGGGAAGGTGTCCGGTATCTTAGAATGATTTTGGCAGATTTCACAACTGAAGAATAGCCCTTTATAGAAAGGTAATTACGTCTCTACATGTCTAACTCCATCACTCTTCAGATGGTCCCTTCCTGGCGTGAAGAGGGGGCAGGAGGGTATGGAAAAGGTCAGAAGCCATCACTGTGAGTCAGTATCGTCCCCTTGCTGGAACAGCCCTGATGTCAGCCGGATAATATGCTTGGTGTGCAAGACTGAAGCAGGGCAGCTAGAGAGAGGGAAAATGTTCTTCCTTGAAACCAGCGTTCTTCCTTGAAACCCAGCAATTCTCTCGGTTTTGTTCCCTCTCACAAGCTCTGTACTTTTGGCTCCTAATTGAAAAATAATAATATGACTCAAACAGCAGCAGGGTTTCAAGAGCTACATGGGTTTTTGAGTTCAGGCTTGCTGTCTGCTTCATGCAGGCCATGTTATTATCTCTAATTTCCTTTAATCACACTGTTTAAAGAAACACACAGAGGTTATCTAGCTCTGTACTTGAGGGTTATTCCCCTGAGGCTAGAGACTGTGTGTTTGAGTTTATCTCTGAGCCTGGGATGCCTAGCATATTGGAGGTGTTTGAGACATGTTTGATATTCAAACTCCTGATTTAAAACATCTGTTTCGCCAGGCTGATGCAAGATGGCATCTACACTGGCCTAAATACTGCTGTGGTCACTTGGGAGCCCACGACCTCATGAAGCAACTTCTCAGATTAGAAAATTAACCAATTTGCTTGCTTATATAGTTTCTGCAGGTTGTTCTTGGTTCTCATCTTAGAAAAATAAGCATCTCCTTGTTTAGAGACATTTTCAAAGATTTTAAATATGTGTTTCTGTCTCTCGTGTCTGTGTGCAAAAAGGAAGTGTAATGGCATAGTAAGAAGACCAAAACCTCAATGGCTCAACAAAACAGTAACAGCCATTTATTAACTCTGTACCTACCAGTTGTCTACAAGTGTCACAAGGAAGCTCTGTTCCTAGTTGTCCTTCGGGGATCATCTCCACACAGCAGCAGTGGGAGGAGTCTATGGCTACTTGCACACAGACATGGACTCTTTCTTGCAGAAGTAATGTTATGGAAGCTCAGCCTTAATTGGCTAAAGCATATACGCGGCTTTAGAGGAACTAGGGAACTACATGCTGACCATAATCCTGTAAGACAGAAATAATTTATAAATAGCTCTATCTGTCCAAGAACTAGGGATGGACTATAGGGTGGTGAAGGTGGGGGAGCTGACTTCATCCCCTCACCGATAATCTAACTTAAGCCTATAACTAAGTCTTCTTCTGCTCTTGGATTCCCGTCTACAAAATGAAAACAGGGACTACTTCGTTTATAATAAGAGCTCAACATGAATTCAACTTCATTTTTTTATATGCTTGTGGGCAGTCTCTCTGTGCACACACACACAAGTGCACACACACAAATGTCTCTGTCTATCTGTCTGTTTCTGCCTCTGCCTCTGCCTTTCTTTAGGGTCTTATTCTGTAACTCAGGGGACTAGGGATGCCCTTTGCAGTCAAGGTCCTGAAACTTGTGATGACCTTCCTGCCTCTGCCTACTGAATGCTGGGACATGAGCAGTTTGCTTTATTGGTCTTGTTATCCAGAGCTTCCTTTCTTATTTCCTCCTGTAAGAGCATTCCACTGTTGTGATTTTTTTCCCAGGCTGTTGTGTTGTATAAGTTTTCTTCTGAAAAGACAGTGCCTTGGCTTGTGCGCTGAACCTGGAGCTCCAGATGGGATGCAGCCATGGCCAAGTGCATTAGGCTCCTTCATTTTACATGCAGCATATGCTTGCATTGTTGAGATTACAGCTAGTGATTAAGTATCTGTGTCTTATTGTCTTCTTATTAAGCTCCTTGCTACTCAAGCTTCCAGAAACTCTTTCTCTCAAGCTTCTGTCACAATGGGACGGCCCATTCCATTATGGTTCAGATAATTTTATTTTAAAAAAAAGCAACCTATAGACTTTTAGTTTCTTCCTTATAGATTTAGCACTGTCTTAGCTCCCTCCCCTAGTTGATCAGTGCTTTTGAAGCCATAGTCTATGACTCAGCACTACCAGCTTTATGCCATCTGCAGCCTTGATCGCAAGACATTATTGCAGGTATAAGGAAGTTAAAATAGACACTAAATAATCCCAAATCCCATTTATTAGACGGTAAGTAGAGAGCAGTAGAATCTAAAATTGCTTTTTTGTGATCAGCGCTTGTAGACGGCGAGTGGCAAGATTATTCTCATTTCAGTAACCTGAGCATTGTGCCAGCTCCAGAAATGCTACAATAATACCAAGCAAGAGCAGGTCTTTCACCAACACCACTAGAGAACTGCTATCCTGCCGCTTGCTCAGTACTTAGAGAAGCTTTAGGAGGAGTTGCTCAACCCATGAGAACAGCTGATGCAAGATCCTTGTTTGTCCAAGTCGACCTAAATCTACTGTGAGATTATTGAGAAGTGTGCTGGTTAAAAAAAAAAAATCAAGATAATCTTATCTCCGACATACTAATCACCACACCCCTCTTAAGGGAATAAGTATTTTCAGTAAATCCTGAACAGGTTAATTAACAAACGTGTTTGGCGGAATAAAAGTGTGAAAAGCTTTCTGCACTGTATAGGGAATGCCCCATTTTTGGTGTCACCCACCACAGAGCTAACTTTATGATTCTAGACCTATATGGAAATGGTTATCTTAACAAAGTGCTCCAACTTTTCTCATGATAGAAACTCATGCAGCTGAAGTCTTCCGAGGCTGGCTCATACTTATAAGATGACACTAAGTGCATAGGAAAGCACTTTTAAGTAAAAAATTGTGCATTCTTAAGATACTGTTCTGCCCAAGTGTAATTTCCAAAGCAACAAGAAAATTACCAAGAGGAGAAGAATTATGACACAGTGTCTGCAAGAACAAATGATACCTCAAAGGCTTTGTCATCCAGGAAAATAAAGCCATGACACTTTGATTACATGGGTTTGTTCCTGACTCAATTCCAAGGGCCTTGGCTCATTGCTAGTTCCCTGTTTCCCATGTGAGGTTCAGTACAAGATGTTTCTCCTATGAAGTCAGCCAAGGCTCTGGGGGTAGAAGAGAGAATTTGAACAAAATAAGAAATGTGGACCCTTACTTTTTTTTTTTCATCCTGACTTTTAAGTGTTCAGATTTGGTTGGCGTTCCCTTCCTCGCCTTGCAAGAAGGATGACCACCGGAAATAGAAGTTCACATTTACAAAGGTGCCTGGCTGTCAGAGCCCAAGCCCAGGAGTGCACATGTTTTCTAGGGAACAGAGATCTTGCTTTCCCAGCTCACAAGATAGCCTTAAGTCCAGTGTTTCTGCACCAGAAACTGAACTGTTTGAAAGCTCTCAGCACTCCTGGGAAGTTTGGCAGTGTGTTTTGAGGAACATACAAAACATGTCTTCTAAGTAATGCCGCAATTGGCAGGGTTCCCTGCAGCTAATGGTCCCTGGAAACCGGCTTGTGCTGACTGTTCTTGTAATGTATAATATGGCTGCCGTGATGTCTGTTGGGTTTCTGTCAGCAACTCCTGGAGCGGATACTGGTCATGATTTATTTCTGCTGGGCAGCACTCTGTAGAGGTGTCCCCGTGAGATGCAGAGAAAGTTTCCTGAAAGTAGAAAGCTGACTGGGAGGAGCACAAGC